CCTCTCTCGCGCTCTCTCTCTTTCCCCTGATTCTCTCTCTCCCTCTCTCTCTCTCTCCCTCCCCTATCCTGCGGCTACAGACCCTTTTCCTTTTTTCCCTGTAGCCACCACTTTAATAAATCTCTTGGTCTTTAATGGGTGTGGAGTTGTCACTGGCGCCTAAGTTCTTTCATTGGTGCCATGACTGGGATTGGGTGCTCTCCCGCCCTTGTGCGTGTCTATCCCCATAGGCGGGATCCCCAACCCGGTGCCCATGGCCACTCCAGCCCTCCCGGACCTTCCCCACTGTTTTGAACACGTGAGCCGCATCCATCAGCGATTGTTGGATAGGTAAGTCCCCCTCCCCCAAACAAGGAAGCCTAAAACTTGCCACCGGAGGGAACTGACCTCAGGATCTAGCCCCTCCGGCCCCCAGGTGAGGGGGAGCGCACCCCACCTCTGTCTTCACAGCCACAGCGGACCCTAAAGTCTTCCTCTTCTCCTTTATCTCTCTCAAACCTTAAAAATTCCCATGGCTGTCAGGCTGCAGCGGGCCCCAGGGATCCCACGTCTGCTAACCCACAGCGGTTTCCATAGGATTCTCTCTCTCTCCCCCCCACTTAAGGACTCCCATGACTGTCGGGTTGCAGCAGACCCCAGGAGTCCCACGTCTGCTAGCCCACAGCAGAATCCGGAGGGCTCCCACATCTGTTGGGTGATAGCGGACCTCAAAGTTTCCCATGTCTATTGCCCCACAGAAAACTCTGTTCGACCAGCAGGAATTGCGAATACACTCCCTACCTGCTGCTCGGTCAAGTGCTCTCTGTCTATTCCAAAAATTCCTAGCACTAGGTGCCTTGACCCCTCGGTTCTCCAGGAGAACCCTGGTTGTGCCAAACCTCTCTGACGACAGACTTTGCCACAGCCACACTTCTCGGACAGCTGACTCTTCGGGGGACGCCCTGTTTAGTCCACCTGTCCCTCCATGGGAGGCTCATCATCCCTGCCGGCTGATTCCCCCCTTAAATGCCTCTTAAACAACCTCACTACACTCTCTCTCCCCCAATATCAAACCCAAATGCCTAATTCACCTCTACACACAGGACTGGCAAATATATCCCTTAGACAACCAGAATCAGTGGCCTATATAATTTCTGTGAGTGTTCAAAATGGTGGGTAAAGATTCCCTACGTTCAGTCCTTTTCTCTTCTCCATAAATACCCCCTCTACAGCTTCTTTCCCTCCCACTGTCCCACGTGCGTCTGTGCTTCCTCCTCTAAACCCCCCTTCCCCCACTGCAGACCCTGCAAGTTCCATTTCTGCTCCCTCCTCCCCCGTCTCGGATTTCAATCCTAAGAAGACCCCCCACCTTCCAACACCCTGCTTCCGGAGGAACGTAGGAGAGTCTGGGAACAGGCTAGGACATATGCAGACAAAATTCACCTCCCGGAGCCCACTAGCAATCTTCCAGCCTGAAGGAAAGGGCTGAAAGACAGTAAAAGGAAACACTGTCTGAAGATGCACTCGTAGACTCCTAGGATTAGGACAGAGAGTTGACGAATGTGCTGTGTGCA